GTTGGGGTCTGAGAGATAGTGCTACACAGTGGCTAGAGACGTTATCAGATATGGCTCAGAATAGAAGCCAGTGGCGATCCTGCTGTAACCTTCTTTTACTTTCTTCATAAAAAGTGGTTGTGTCTCCCTCGCTTGAAAGATTTCTTCTGATTGTACTTTTCCGTTCCACTGTTACGACCACACTAAATTACACCAATCTCTTCGTTATCGTTCTCTTTTTCTTTTGTGCTCCTTAGTTTTTTTTTTCTATCTCTTCGAAGTTACATTGTTTTGTGTGGCGCATATATATTGGCGCTCTCTTGTACCAATATTTATGTGTTAAAATAAATAAATAAATAAATCTAATGTTTCATGGCCGACTGACCGTAAATTGTATTAACTTAGTAGTACTATCATGTTTTAAAACCAAATAAAATAATCACCTGTATGACGCAAGTAATTGGACTAATAATTATATTATAAGATTAATAATAGTAATACTATTACTAATACTGCTGTAGTAAACGAGAACGTAGCTGGGGACGACCAAATGTATTTGCACACGAAGTTACTGAATCTCTTAGTAAAATCTGAGAACCATGTAGTACATACTTCATTTGCAAAATATCCATCAATTGTCTCAAACGTTTTGTTCATTCGTTTCAATACCAATCTTTCTCTGTTCTAATTCTCTTGTCTTCTATTTTCGCAACCTTTAGCCACCAGGCATACCACTTTCGATTAGTGAAACATACTACTCATATCTGTCGATATCAGTAGCACAAATCACGCAACGACTACTCGTAAAATAATTGATATTTGGTAATAAGGTGTTACTGTTTTTGGGTAAAATCTTCATTAATTTCATGTAATCCTGAATATGTTTTAGGAAAATCGGTAAAACATATCACTTGCTGTACTCAATACTGCCTAATGATAACTTATGAATTTGTTGAGATAATTTATAATGACTTTTTAAAGCATTGTAGTCATCTTTTGTTTAAAACGAAGTATCAGCAATGTAGTGATGTTAAATTAACATAAATTTTACGAAAGATTTTAATATGTAGTAAATTCTGCCTTATTTTGGGTTGGTTAGCCAGATGTACCTGTGTCCTACGGTTAATGTTTATTCTGGAATTCGAATTTGATATCTTTCACCCTGAAGTCCAACGCAAAAGCCGTTTGGGTATTGTGTTCAAATATATATATAACACATGAATGTTTATTCAATTCGTTATGCCTTGGATTATCCCATTGTTGACGTTTTGAATAGATTTTGATCAGTTGTAGTTGGCATACATTAGTCCTTGAGAACTGTTTCAGTGATAGTCAGTCGCTTGAATACTAGTTTTTATTTATTTTAGTTGGGTACTTTTCATCTTCAAGAATCTTTCATTCAGTTTTCTTTCGTAATCATACCCTGAATAAAGTGCTTACACAATGTTTTGTAATGATAATCTACTGAAGTTAAACTTTTCTACTTAACATTTGTTATGGCAAAACTACTACTTATTACAGCGGGACAAAACTGATACGAATCTATATAAGGACGAATAAAAGACTTTATGTGAAGAATTATTTACTCGACTCTTGGTTGCCAGGTTGTGTATCCGCATCGGTGGAGAGTCATACACTAAGACGAAATGGTCGTCCAAGGCTTTCAGGTTTTTTAATCGGGATCTAGGTGAGATCATTTCGTGATTTAATCTGTGATAATTATTTATCTACCACAGAACAACGAGAGACGTTCATACTGATAATTTCCACGTGTTCACTAGTCACTAGCTTCAGGAGGGGATTCTCGGATTTCTGGTAAGAAACCGTGATCAGTGGAGCTAATCCATGTCGGGTAGAGACAGGTATCTACCTCAGTACAATGGAAGATGAATGCGCAATTTCGTGGATTGGTTGAAGTTAGACACTAACACCATTAGATGCCGGCTTAGTGGTTCAGTGGTTTAAGCGCTCGCGCACGAGACTAAAGTCCCTCGATTCGAATATCGCAAGGCGGGATCGTGGATGCGCACTGCTGATGAGTCGCACAATAAGACGAAACGGCCGTCCAGTGCTTCCAGGTTTTCAATGGTGGTCTAACATCAATCGGTTCATGATCTCAATCAAAAACGTGATAATTACGACCTTGTACTGAATAATATTTATGCCGGAGCAATACATTACATATGAAATCATTGATTCCACCACTGGGTTGAAACTATATGAAAATTACCTAGTCCATAATCAAATTTCAGTACATTGAACTCGTCAGTACTTGACAACAATTTATTGATAAATTAATACAAGAATACAATTTATAAGATCAATGGATTAAACTGCTTTAAGTCACAAATAATACCAAATTATTAGGTTGAATATTTGCTCTTTCTTGACATAATCATATCGATATTTAAGTTTCTTTTTCAGTCTGTCATGTTTTATAAATTAAGATATTACAATTATTTAGGTTTTTACTGAAACAGCAGATTAGAGCGAAGCGAATTATTGATCGGACCAAAAACGCGCAAACACTTAAGAATGGCCTAGGGTTCTGATTGGTCCCGCTTCCCTGTCTAGTCCAGCAAGTTGAGTCCAGAACACAACTCTCAGCCTCGGAGATATGAATCGTTATATTTCAAACATACTCTGTTTATATACCAATCAAGCATACCACATCGTACCATAAAATAGAAAACATCATTGTACAATATTGACCAGTAGGAAAATGACGAGTGAAATAAACATTGACCAATAAGGAAATGACACCATCTCAAGTCCAAAAATAGCATCAGACTTAACAGAATATTTTTTGGGATATTTTTCTGAATACCCCAACAGTTACATCATAAAGTGAAATCTGAGTTAACATATTGAAGTATCTATTATTCCTTCTGATTTATCACATAAAATAATTGAGTAATTGAACTTGTTTCAGTTTTGTAATTAGCCTAATTAGCGGTAAAGTTTCTTTAGTTCTGATTGATGTTTGTGATTGATAAGCTACTCATTACTTTAAATGTTAACACATTATCTATTAATTTATTATGTTGCGACAGTCATTCACTAAACATAGACAATTGGGCAAAAACAAGTTCTTACTGGTTGATCAATTCAATGATTATTTGCACTGAATAGTTCAGTGGATAATCTGTTGAGGTTTGAAGTGTTAACTCCTGGTTTCATATCTTAATGGAAACAGTAATACTGAAATACAGGTAGAAAACACTGATGAAACCTAAATAGGATGAGATCGTCTTTTTGGATTGTATTGCCAGCCATAGATTAATAAAATTGTGATCATATAGGAATATCGAGGCAACGCTTTCACAATGTAAATTTACTAGTCATTATAACTGTAATCAAATACCAACGTATAAGAAGTAGAGAACGAATCAACAGTTGTCGGAACGATTGAGTAGAAAATAATCCATAAGACGATTTCAGGACCTAAAAACTAAGGGAAGATAAAGAGTGTATTCATTTATGCAATTGTAATCAATTTTAAGTTGTAGCCCAACGTCTCCAAACACTCGTCACTATCAGATCATGGATCCTTATTAAATATACTGAATACATCTACACAGCTCAGTCCAACCACCAGTGATCTCAAAAACTGTAAAGTTTTAAATTAACCGCCTCTAGTTTTCTTCCAGCCTACATTTACACAACTTAACATCAATAGTCGAGGATTCATTATCTTATCGGGATATTATCCATCTTCGTCTAGTATCCTGCATCTTATCTTGAAGTTGATCACTCGGTGGACTGAGTTTACTCTGGCTGTACTTCAGAGACACCTGTGGTGAAATACGAGTAACTTACAAATATCCTGTTTTCTAAGTGATAATACATCAAACCTGTAAAGTAGAGCAAAACGAACTGTTGAACTCATTCTTTTATTAGTATTATTTACTATTGAAAAGTTATTTCATTGAAAGCTTGCCATTACAGACATTATTATTGACATAAAAATTGTGTGTTATTTACATAATTTTTATTTTAAAATGATACCAAACATTGTTTTCAATAAAATAATTCATATCAGAATTGTTTTTGTGGATATTATAGTAATTTCGATGGTTGAGATCATGAGTCAATTGAAGCTAGACCACCATGGAAAACTTGGAAACACTGCTTTAGTTTGGGTCTCCTCAGCAGTGCGCATCCACGATATGAATTAACATATGCTCATTAGTGACTGGCTTCAAGAGCTATTTCCTAGAGTTCTAGTGAGAAGCAGTGACCAGTGGAGTTCAACCAGATTTGTTGTGAGATGGTAATTTACTGATGACAGTGATGAATGTGTCGCTGAAATTTATCGATTAGTCGAAGTTAGTGAATTACACCGTTGGATGCCGGCCAGCTCAGTGGTCTAGAGGTTAAGTGTACGCGCGCGGGACTGATATGTCTTGGGTTCGAATCTCGCGATACGGGATCATGGATGCATACTGCTGAGTAGAACTACAATAGGACGAAAGGGCCATTCAGTGTTTCCACGCAGTGCTCTAGCTTCCACTGACTCATGATCTCAACCATTGAAATAAAATAATTGTCCAAAATAAAGTTTTTTTCAAATATCTCAACATAAAGTAGATTCTATACATTCTATACATACCAATTAGCTATTATATTTCCAAAAATTTTTTATCACACTCCATTCCTGGTCTATAATGAAGTATATACATATGTAGTGAGCAAGAAAACCAGTGGGGACAAAATTACAGGACTTGTTAGTAAAATCTAACAATCAAATAGTAAATATGTAATTTGTAAAATGTTCATCAATTGTCTAATAATGACTCAGACTTCATTGTTCTTGCACTTTCGTGCAAATCGCATTCTGTTTCCATTCTTTACTGTTCGATCCACTTGTTTCTCTGCTGCCATACCTTTTGTTCACGACTAACATCATATACTATTTATGTCAATATAAGTAGCACACACCGCACATATACATGTAGACAAATTTTTATCAAAATAATTATTGATTTTCTTGAATTCTATTTTATATTTTTATCAAATAGAATGATTGTCTTGGTCGTGTATTATTCAATCAAGTTATAGAACGAATAGGTGGAATTATTGAAAAAGATTATTTTGGTCTACGTTATTTAGATCGTTCTAAACAAAGAGTAAGATATTGAATGAATACATTCAGTTTTCATATGTTTACATATTTGTTTATTTAACCATTCATAATATGCAAAATATAAGTCACAACAGAAAAGTTTTGATATTTTCAGTAATATACATTTTCTTACTATTTAGTTACAGTGGTAATTGTACTAGTAGTAGTAGTAGTAGTAGTAGTGCTGTGTATGTTCACGCTATCATTAAGAGGATATATCAATTCAAACTGTTCATTCTTCTAAAATCGATTTTATAATAGAACAAAATTACTTGTAAAACTTTTTAGAACGTAATTGTTGGTAAGTTGAGCCAATAAGATAAAGGTTACAAGATAATTCTACTCTGTTAGTAGAGATTTAGCTTCCTTTTTTTAAAAAAGGAAAACATGCTATTGGTGGAAAATGTGACTTTATTTTCCCAAGGATAAAAGTGGTTATTTGTGTATAACTGTCCATATATTCTTATTTCAGTTTTAATCAATAAAGTTTTATTTTAACTTTCTATCTTCTTATTCATTTATCTGGTTTGTGCTCACGTATATGTAACTTCCATATATTTGCAATTCATTCTTCTAGTTGATATATAATGATGATATGTGAATGACATGGTTAGTTTATAATTGATAAAAATGATACTTATGAGTTAAAAGATTCACTCCATATCTTAATAACTGAATTAAAGATTCTATACAACACAGTGTAATTGTTTTTTAGAAGTTCAGAAAAATCAATGGCTATCAGTATTGAATATTAGGTAATATACAATAATTAACAGTTCATATAACCGAATTTCGTGTAATGCTAGAAACACATGATCTCTTTACATAATAACTTAGACGATGAACGACCTTTAATATCGACAAAAGAAGGAAAGACTGAGAAAGATCATAAAAGAAACATGTACCAGGATAAATAACATCTCTAATACAACAGATTTCATTTGATTCTAATAGGATGTTTCATTGTTTGACATGTCTCAGGTAAAAGATAACACTTTTGACGTTTTGATGGGTTAGAGGTAAAACCGTTAACAATCGACTATTGTTTTATGATTGGAAGGGAATTCGAAGAGGAAATAACGTTAATTTAGGGAATGAGTAGTTTTTCTCCACTGGTAGACATATAAATAAAGCAATTATAAATTACATTTTTTAAAGCAAAGTTCATATTAAAGGATGAGGTTGCTAACACCTTGATCAACCTTCCTTTTTTTATACTCGGGCTTGAGACTACCCCTAACCCTAGAAGGTCTTCAGTTGAAGTTAGGAATCTAAAAAACAACCCAATTGAGTATTTTAATTATTCTCATTGATTTAAGAACAACTAAACAAATTCATAACTTTAGCCTAAGCTATTATTAACAATAGCAATACATTAAAATACTACTTATAATATTCTAAAACTTTAATAATAAGTAGTATTTAACATAATCGTGAATGTGTTGATTGTTATTAAGCTTTAATTTTGGTATTATTTCTTTATTTTATAGCAATGGCTAGAAATGTCTAAAACTGTTTATAAACAATTAAAATGTAAGTAACATTTATCATATTCATTAATAATTTGTATATTTACCGAAATATATCTATTCAATCAAGAATATGACTTCTTAATACTTAGAATTTAATTCAAAACATAATATACGTTGAAACATGTAAATTATGAGTAACTTTATAAAGAACAAATTGAGTTGATAGATTAGTCGTTCAAGTATAGTGATTTTTGATGAGACTATCATTTATGGACAACTTTTGAGTGATATCAGTGTGATCTTGAGTATGCCTAGCTACTAACAAGAATTAAGTGAGGATTATAAACCAGTGTGAGGAATACGAATAATGATTCACTGATGATGGTTAGGACTAGGAATTAGATTAGAAGACGTAAAGGTGAGGATTGGTAAAGCAAGGACCGCATTCCTACAATCGAAGAACATATGGAACTCAAAACAACAGTCAATCAATATCAAAGTTAGAATTTTCAATACGAACGTCAAAACAGTCCTACTGAACAGAGCTGAAACTTGTAGAACTACTAAATCATCATCAAGAACGTACAAATATTTATGAACGATTGTCTAAGCAAGATATTGAATGTCCGTTGATCGGAAACCATTACCGACAGCTTTCTGTGGGAGAGAACGAAGCAAGTTCCAGTTGAAGAGGAATTTAGGAAACGATGATTGGAATGGATAGGGGATACATTGCGAAACTCACCAAAGTGCATCACGAGGCAAGCCAAAACTTGGAGTCCTGAAAGAAAAACGGAAAAGAGTAAGGCCGAAGAACACATTACGTAGGGAAATAGAAGCCGATATGAAAAGGATGAATAACCACTGGAAAGAGCTGGAAAGTATTGATCAGCTCAGGGTTGGATGGAAAGGGCTGATAGGCGGTTTATGCATCACCACGGGGGGTAACAGGCGTAAGTAAGTTCTCATCGCGAACTGATATAAGCTATAATGCCAAAACTCTATTTAGCTAAATGGATGAATGAGTTTTGCACTAAAACCCAAGATCTGCTATCTTCTAATGTAAAAATAGTAGAAAACAAATCATGAATCTTATACAATTCATAAATTATACAGAAAGAACATTTACGTTTCATCATTATAAATGGATTATACAATTATTCAATAATAATAGTCATAGAAATTGTAAGGTTATTTTCAGTACTAATTAAATTCAGTAGTATAATTTTTGTCTCAGTAAATATTCCATTCTCATCAATAACATCATATAAGTTTTTTAAATATCACTTAAGTCAAGTAACTAAGTTTATTAAATTAGAAAATTAATTCCTGTCAAAAAACGAACAGAAATGTTTGTTAGATTATTAAATGAAGATCCATTTTAGTCGTCTTACATATTCCTTGACATAAAGAGAATTTTAGTGAAAAAAACACTTTCTTTTTGACGAAATCATTTACTGAAGCTGTACATTCGGATTTATAGATGTTTGGAAAATATATGCTTTAGTGGTTTGAATTAATGAGTCCATGTAAGCTGGATCACCTTTGAAGATCTGGTAGTAATGAACGGTTAGTTCGTTCTAGTATGGGACTCTTCAACAGTGCACATCTACCATTCCGCACGTGGGATTTGAACCCAGGACCTATCGGTCTCACGTACGGATGCCTAACCTCCAGACCAATAGGACGGCATGCGATAGTGTTAATGTCTAACTTCAACCAATCCACGAACTCGCGTCACCGTCCATCGTTTTCTTCAGTGAGCTATTACCTCACAACAGACACGGTTGAACTTCACTGATCACGTCAAGTGCTTCAAGGTTTTCCATGATGGTGTAGCTTCACTTGACTCATGAAATAAACTAATAAATATTAATAGTTGTTTGGTAAATGTATAAGTTTATAGATAGAGAGAAAAGATTGCATAACAAAGTGATTCCTGATTTCAAATATCAAATGAGGTTGGATAATAATCAAAAGGTTAGAGAAGAATAGGAGGATGAAAATAACTAACGAGTCATAAATATGAAAGATAAGTGTCCGCTCGACAGATATGGAAAAACAATAAAAACATAAAGGTCATAAGAATAACTGACTTAGGTTGAAAATTACAAAACACTAACTTAAAAAACAGGACTGAAACGTACTACTGAGGAGAATTAAGGCCAAGGAAGGACGAGAGAGATATATAAATTAGAATTGTGGCTTGTAGAGATCGTAGTAGATACCTGTCTCTACATGTGTCTGGTAGAGACAGCGGACGAATGGTTGCGCAAGATAATGGATCGGTTGAAGTAAGACATTAAAACCATGGAATGCCGGCTCAGTGGTCTGGAGATTAGGCGTTCGTGCCTGAGACTGATAGGTCCTGGGTTCGAATCATGCGAGGAAAATCGTGGATGTGCACTGTTGAGAGTTTATAATTATTGTAATTATTATGATCCTGAAAAAAATAAGTATATGTATTTGTGATTGTACAGCTTTGGAAATGACTTTGCTGAACCAATATTTCTTTGTAAGCTGGGGTAGATAGTGCCTAGCAGTGGAATCCAGGACGCGAGTTTCGTTTTATTTGGGACTCGTCAGCTAGATGTGTCTGCATCTGAGTTGATGTCCACTCCGGGACTAAAACCCAGTACCGTTCGCTTCAAATACTATCGCTTTATCCACTCAGCTACTGATTCCCAATAGCCACCTACTTGTGCAATGGAGTGAAGTTATATTCATTTGGTGTTGTTTACTTGTATCTTCCCATTGTTATTTAAGACTGGGATCGATCAGTCTCTTGTCGGCATATGTGCATCCTTTGAGGACTACCTCGATATTACCTGAAGTCACAAGACATCAAGTGAATACAATCTTTCTTATTTAGATAGATATAAAATATGCAGATCGACTACGTTGCAATCTCAACATAGTGCACGCAATGTTGAGTCACCTAGACTGGTGGCCATATTGCAACGTCGTCAATAGCATTCGATCTACACTAAGAAGGACGCGACACACATGACATTGATCACCACTAAGTGATCAATCAATTGTGAAATCTAAGTATTGTTAGGCTTCATTTAAAATCACAAATAATGTCTGAAAGTGTTTTAATGCAAGATGAAAATGACAGTTATATAAGGCTTAATCAACCGAAAACTCGATTATAAACTTATTAAGAATAAAGTTCTAGTATGTTGCATCACTTTAAAAAGACAAGAATGATTTCTGGTGATTCGTTTAGTTTAAAATTAAGTTATATATGTGATAGTTATCTTTGAATTATACAAGAAGATCGTAGAAAAATATTGCCAATCGTGTAAAGTTAGACTATTTAAGGTATTGGTATCAATCTAGTGGTCTGAAGCGTGAACATTTAGGATAAAATATTAAGTTCAATAGTTGAAATCATGAGTCAATTGAAGCTAGACCGTCATGGAAAACCTGGAAGCACTGGATGACCATTTCGTCCTAATATGGGACTTCTCAGCAGTGCACATCCACGAGCCTGCCATTTGTCTGATTTTTATTAAAGTCGTGCATATGAATTGCGAATGAGTAGTCTTGTACTAAGACAAAATAATAACTATCCAATGGTCTTTAATTTTCAATGATTTTCTAATTAAAAATTATGTCTATATATTATAGACAGTTTGATGTATAATGCTTTAATGTAATAAATGGCTAAATCTTTTTTCAGATGTTAGTCCAAGATCATTGAATTTTCGTGTTAAACATTATCCAAGTGATCCAGTTAATGAATTTCGTCAAGAAAAAAGTCGGTAAGTGATTTTAACTCATGTAATTCAATTCACAGTCGTGTAATACATTTAGTTTGTTTAAAATGACTAATAGTTTAATATAGACACATTAGAACAGGGTGTTACATGGAATTGATAGATTAATTGATAACGTTGTAGATTTACACTAGGTGACATAACTATAAAGTATCTTATGCTTTCTTAATCGTTGCTTATTACAGTGTGTTGTAATGAATCTTATGTCAATCTGATTTGTATCAATTCAAATCAGTTTAATACCACATTACTCATTGAATCTGAACAAAAAATGCGATAATTATGATTTCACTGCATACAAATATTGATTTTTACTTGATACTCAAAGGTCAACCTGGAACTGGCAATATAAAAACGTTCAGGGTAGATTTCCTCAGATCAAGTAGAGAAACCTGGTACATCCTAGATAAATCTGTGTGGAAGATTTAATCGATGAAGTATTAAATAAATTCAGACAATTGCTTATGGAAAATGGCTTTCTTCCAAGATTGATTGACAGTAATCCTAAACCAGTTTACTCACTCATATTGAGCTCACAAAATAATCACTTTTCAAACCCATATCTCAAAAATACATAACATAGTTGCCTAAAGGGCAAGAAAACTCAGTAAACCGTTTTATTCTTAAAGATCTGGTTGATCTCACTCATATTACTTTATCAGAATCTTCATTTAAAATTGCTTACTCCAAGAAAATGAGCCTGACTGTGAAGCTTGGTGACATGAGATTGAATCCATCCGAGAGCATGAGGTTCCCCAATATCACAGGTTAACCTTGCCGACGAGTGCCAAGTAGCAAGAAGCCGGGTCCAGGGTTTCCTGCAGGCTACCACCAAGTCACCACGTTACATCTCAACATAGTGAGTGCGATGTCGAGTAGCTTCCATCAGTTGCCACATAGAAACTTGTTCAATAGGATTCAATCTTCACTGGAAAGGGCCTAACATACATGACATCGGCCACCACTCAATGATTAGTGGGCTGTAAATACATTACATCAACTCCAACATCCTCATCCTCAGCTACAGATATTTTCAATCATCTTAGAGACTCACATTATTGATGGCATTGACTAACCTGTGTTTGACTACCATCGACAACTGTTATGTTCTAATATGGGACTCCTTGGCAATGCTCATCCACAACCTCACTTTAGGCGATCAGAACAGAGACCTTTAGTAGCAAGCGCAAACACTTAACCTCTAGACCACTGAGTCGCTATTCGATGGCGTTAATATCTAACCTCAATTAATTCAAGATAGTTTCACGATCCTAGTCAGACAAAGCTGCCCTTTGGTGTTTCTAGGTTTGAGATGGTTGTTTAACTTAGATCGCTTCTTGATTTTAATGAGATTTACTAATCTTTACATCACCATACTGATATATATATAGTGATTTTTGAAACACCAGTTGATCAGTTTTAGAATAAAAACATTTAGCATGATTACATTACGTAGACTGATGCATAAATTTAGACTGTACATGTGTATGTTCGGTACATCCTTAATTTATGTGATTTATTTTATTAGTATTCATATGATAAAAATATTGTCCAGAATAACAATGAAAGCTTCTTAGTTAAACTATCTAAATCATATGGTATTGTTTTACTTGAATCTTCCCAGTGATGTTTAGGACTGAAATGGATCAGTCTGTTATTGGCATATGTGAATACTGTTCGTATTGCCTCGATATTACCTTAATTTAAAAGCATTATAAGCAAAGATGGATAATGGCTAGCAGTGGAATCCAGGACACGCGTTTCGTTTTATTTGGGGCTCGTCAGTTGGATGTACCTGCATCCTAGGGTTGATGTTCACTCCGGGACTCGAACCCCGTATCGTTCGCTCCAAACACCATCGCGTTATCCACTCAGCCTAATAGCCACCTGCTTGTGCAATGGAGTGAAGCGTAATTCACTTGGTAGAATAAAATTGATATGATAAATAATAACTTAATTAATTGGATTGAGAATGACATATGAAACTAACTCTTTTTTTCCAAGCGTCTTTTTACATCTTAAGAAGGATTAAACATATTAGGTTCATTACTATTCGTTGACGCATTACAAAATTTAGGCCCAAATAATAATATTTGTGCTCAATATTAGATAATATCATACTAAAGTAAGTGAATGCATATTTTTCTGATGTTTCCGTTAAAGAAGTATTGGTCACTGTCGTTTAATTGTATAATATGATAAATTGTTAGATTCTTATTATTAATTACAACTCAATCTAGTTTACACAAAGATCAGTAAAGTCCAATCCATGTCGGATATGAAAGATTTATCCATCTCAGTCAATGGTGGATGGTCTCACGATAAAATGGATTGGTTGACGTTAGACAATGACACCACTAGATGCTGGCTCAGTGGTCTATAGGTTAAGCGCTTGGGTGCCAGACCAAACATTCTAGGTTCAAGTACCGCAAGTGAGATCGTGGATGTGCATTACTAGGACAGAACGGCCGTCTAGTACTTTCATATTTCGGATGGTGGTCAAACCTAGATTTAATTTGAGATTATTAGAAATGGCTAGAAAATTTGATCAATCATTCAACTGACAAAACGTATTCAAAAACAAAAATATCACAGAAAAGAAAATGTGATGTAACAATTTTTTAAAAAAATATTTACACTTGAATTTATATTGTTGTTTATTTTTGTTTGATAATCCTTAATGTTTTCTTTTTATTGAAAATACAATAAGATACTTGCTGTATCTTCAATTAAGACGTGATCTTCATAGTGGTAGATTGATTGGGAGAAATTTAGAAATGCATGTACTAGCAGCATGTATACTACAAGGTTAGTTATTATTAAAGATGTACACTTGTTTGCTTGATTTTAATTTCTTAACGTTTTCTTATTTTATCTTTAAGAATTATCATACTGACCATAGATATCTATTGAAAGTCAGTAAATAGTGGAGAATTGTTTAGTTGCATTTCAGGATTCTTCAGTAAACAGTTGAGATGCACAACCATTAAGGAGATTGAGACTAGAAACTCAATGTCTCTTGATAAGTGCTAAGCTATTAGATCACAATGTCAGGACCTAATTTTAAACTTAAATCAATAAAGGCTATTCATATGACCATCTTTTGATGATATTGGTGTGTAACTACCTCACATCTGATATGATTGAACTTCATTGGTCAAGGCTTCTCACTTTGATTGAGAATTACAAACTGATCTTAATTACTAGTAAGCTGTCCAGTTCTTCCTGCTTTCCAATGATTATCTAATGAAGATCAACTTATAATGTAGACTATGAAAATTTCATAATCTACACAAACATCTATAGTAGTAATATACGTGAATTCTAAGTGACGTCTGATAATTATGGGAAGACAAATGATTTGTGTGATTCTTTACTCACAAAACAGCCAATTGTTATCAATTATTTGTATATGGAATCTAGAAAGATGTATATATATATATATATATATATATATATATATATATATATATATAGAGAGAGAGAGAGAGAGAGAGAGAGAGAGAAAGCGAGGGAGGGGGAGAGACAAATAGTATGTTTCTATGCATTACTTATATTTTTATGTATATTTTGTTAAGGATATGGAGCTCTACTCAAGTATGAACTATTGTGTTCAGTCACCCATATACTATAAAAAAAACTGTTGAAATTCATACTGGTGACTTAATTAGCAAGATCCATTCAGCTAACATTGAGTTCATGGTAAATAATGATACTAATACTAATTTTATTTAATACATTTTTCTATAAAAAAAATATATTTTTTGTTTATTAAAAAAACGTCTTTTTTTTTTTAGCTGAAATTGGAGACTACGATATTTTGTTAGATTATTTAGGATCTGAAGGTTCATTAGCTGATCTTAAAATGTTTGCTAATATTACACCAAAAACAGAATTAAAAATTGTAGAGATTTATAAATCACTCAAGTAAGTAAAATTTTGAAAATTTTGATTAAAAAAAAATGGTATAATCTACATTGTACATTAAAACTAATTTTAAAATAATTCACATGGTATTGTTTTACTTGAATTTTACCATTGAGAGTATAGACTGTAATCAATCAGTCTCTTGTTGACTATATGTGCATCCTATGCGGACTGCCTCAAAATTACCTTAAGTCACAAGCTTTATAAGCAGAAATGGATAGGGGTTAACAATGGAAGCAAGTTTGACGTGCGTTTCGTCCTATTTGAGACATTCAGGTGGCTATTAAGACTCAGTAGCTGAGTGGATAACGCAATAGCTCTTGAAGGGAACGGTACTAGATTCGAGCACCAGAGTGGACAACAACTTTGAAATACAGGTACACTCCACTGACGAGTCCCAAAGAGAACGAAATACGCATCCTGCATTCCATTGCTAATCACTACCTATCTTAGATTACAATTTTAAAATAGTATACAAATTATATTTTTATATCAATGTGAAGAAAAAGTACCAATATTCATGGAAAATAAGTAATAACCATGACGTACTCTTATAATGGACAAGAACACCAGTGAGGACAATCGAATGCATTTGAGCACAAAATTACGGAGTATCTCACTAAAATCCTTAAAACCATATAGTTAATGATTAATTTGCAAAATATGAATCCATCATCTCAAACTTGACTGTTTCTGTTACGAACCTCAATCTATTGTCGCAAATTTCATTGCTTATGCATTTCCATACCGATTGCGTTCCGTTCCTGTTCTTCCTTCATTGAGCTTCTATTAAAATACATTCTATGCCTGACCACTGTTATATACTACATGTGTGGATTTAAGTATATATATCATTATCAGAATGGGTTTTGTGGAGATTTTAGAAATTTCACAGATTGAACTCATGAGTCAATTGAAGCTAGACCACCATTGAAAACCTGGAAGCACTGAACGGCCGTTTCATCCTAGTATGGAACTTCTCAGCAGTGCGCATCCACGATCCCGCACCACGCGGGGTTAGAACCCAGGACCTACTGGCTTCGTGCGCGAGCACTTAACCACTAGACCACTGAGCCGGCATCCAACGGTGTTAGATATATATCATTGTTTAATAATATCAATGAGTAAGCTGTTTGTTTCAATAAATTAAACATGGGACTGGGCAATCATCATTTAAAATACTGTTTAGTTTAGATTACTATAAATTTCTATCATTACGACATTTACAAATATTAAATTTATTCTAACTGTAATTCCTTTTTACAGAGGTATGTCAATGAGTGATGCTGAGAATAAATTTCTTGAAAATGCTGCAAAATTTGAAACATATGGCATTGAACCTTTATATGTCCAAGTATGTTTACTATTACTATTTCCGTATATACTTACATAACAACTGATTAAATGTGTTGAGTTGATGAAGTTAATCAGCAAGAATGTCGAAATTTATTCAGTAAACAAAAGAAAAAATCAATTAAGCATTTTTATCATTATGATTTGTTTAAATCAGGAAATTAAAAATTTTCTAAAAAAGATGGATTTCAGTTAGGAATTTTATTCTTTAAGTTGAATAGTTTGATCATGAATCTTTCATTGTTCTTTTGAATGACATGATCAGCATAAACTTCAAATAGGAGTGAAATAAAATCCAGTATACATATTTTGTTCTATTTTACACTTATGATTAAATTTGAATGTAAAAGGAACATTATAGAACTGCCTACAGTTATATGTAAGATTTCATGTTCTTTGGAAGTACAATAATTAGAAAAAAAATTGATAGCCGTTTTTATTTCCAACAATATACATGACAATATGTTTTGCAGTCTGATAGAAGCTTCTTTACAGAAATAATTCATCCTATTGAACATAAATATGATCAGTAAATGACTATGCACCAAATAATAATAACAATCCAATCAGATTCAGATGCTGAATATGATTTAGTGTGTGAAACAGAAGTCGGCGACTAGCAGACACGGTGAACGGCCTCATCAGACAACGCCCAACGTGGGGCTCGAACCCACGACCCTGAAATTAAGAGTTTCATGCTCTACCCACTGAGCCAGCCGGGCTTGAACTATATTCTTATAAGATAGCACGGATCATTGATACCTCAATAAATGAAGGTGAGCTAGTATAACTTGTAACGGTAAAAAGACTAGTGTTTAATAGATATAAAGAAAAATTCATCCTTAACACTTATATTCATTTACAACTCGTGAATCACGGTCATCAAACGATGTATATTCTATTGTTTAGTGATTTATTACCTTTCAAATATAACTTTGACAGCTTTTCTACTGATATAAAGACATCTATATTGATATACAATGACTTATCGTAACTATATATATGTTCTCTAAATAATTTAATTTCTAGTTACCAACCTAAAAGGTGAATTGATTCTGATTGTTTATTTCTTCGGAAAATCTATGGTCACTTGAATTTTGTAACTAAGAATTAAATACATTTACAAATCTAGCTTTATATAACATTACTTAAACATATTTCGCAAGAAATATTTCAGAGTTATACATCAAACCACGTTTAAAATCTCGATAGGCGATATAAACTGAAGCAGGTTGGTCGAAGTGGATAGTCGGTTAAATCAAACATGATATCTATCCATGAAGTCATTGCCTATTGTCTTATGCTACTTCGGATAGATGTGGACTACTGGTTTAGGGCTCACGCAATTAATATCATAAGTGGTTTGAAGCGTTGAGTAAGATGGCTTGGAATCGATCACAGTGGAGTAGATATATTCATTGTTTATCTTCCTCTAGATCCAGAGCTGCAGTATTCCTGCATTTATATCTTTGCTTTTTATCTTTATAAGTAATATTATCAATTCCTAATTATTCTGATTATCACTGGTTTTAAATTATTTATATTCCTTCAATATTTATTTTATCGCACCAATGTGATGTGGCGACATCAACTACTGATATGCATATAATATATAGTTTAGGAAAAGGAAACCAAATTTAGAGAACAGGAGCCTGGGATAAGCTCTACCTTTTCAAGTCATCTAAATGTATAACAGTCAGTGATTGAGGTTATGTTCTCGTTTATTTAGTCGCCCAGTCGTAGATATTTTGATGTAATTTCTATGATAGAATTAATTGGAGATATATCCTCTAATATGTTAGGATTTTTCTTCCGTCATGACTAACTATTCTACACTTAATATGTCCATAGTATGATGAAATGGTATTTTCGTCACGAAAAAGCTTTACATTTCTCGTGCTCTCCATCACGGACTACGATAGTGTAAATAATAATCCTCACTTCATTTTGCTAAGTCGTCAGTTACAAGGTCAAACTTGTGAACGAGAATAGAGTTTATCCTCACTTGAACAGAGTATAAAATTGATTATTCATTTTGATTAAATCAATAAATATCAATCCTTGAAAACGTTTACTAAATAATAAACCAAATTTCATATATATTGTATAATAAAACGGTACCGTTTTTGTAAATCTACGGAAACAATAGTTTAATAGAATAAGTAACCATCTATCAAATTTCACGGTTTTATAGTAAATCCTATTCATGGAAATAAAGAATATATATATGTATATACAATTGCATAGTAAGTTTATTGAAAGAGAGATTTCACTTGACAAATAAATTATAAAGGTCATGAAAGTGTAAATTTTACCAAAATGTCATGGCAACAACTAATATAAACTTTGTTTTAACCTGAAAGAAATAAAGTATTGAGAAGAAAAAAAATAAAAGCAAAAACAAACAAAAACAAACCAACATTAGAATGGGTATTGTGAATATTATAGTAATTTCAATGGTTGAGATCATGAGTCGATTAAAGCTAGACCACCATGGAAAACCTAAAAGCACTGAATGGCCGTTTCACCCCACTGTGGGACTCCTCAACAGTGCGCATCCACGATCTCGCCCTCACTACGAGATTCGAACCCAGAACATATCAATCTCTCACGCGAGCGTTTAACCTTTAGATCACTGAGTCAGTATCTAATAAACAAACACCCACTTTATGAAATATTGAATGGTTCCTTTCTTAAGTTTATAAAATTTAAGTGTAACAATAGATGACCTCATCGAAATGTCTATAATCTTTAACAATAATTATAAACTTTATATACACTGATGGATAATATCTAGCAGTGTAATTGTAGAAAAGAAAAATGATAATAATATCTCAAATAAGATCTTAATACAAAGGAAACAAGGTTTTAATTGAATCAGTTGGAAAATCTCATTTTAATTTGTTATCTGATAATTGTATGGTTAAATTATTCAATGTTACTGAGGAATGAATCATTCAACTGATTAATTAGTGATGATATATGTTTATACTCAAAGGAAAGTGATTGGAAATTAATGTGTCATTACTCAAAGAGTATTCACTGCTACTGTTGATTTTTATTAAACACGAAGTAAATTGTAATGTGAAGAGATGGTATTTGATTCTTAGGAGACTGTGGAAGTAGAATTTAAGGAGATAAAACAACTTTGGAATATATATAGGCTAGACACTAAAGACCTTTCAATCAATCAGTCAGTCAACAATAATTAATGACTTAACCTTTATTTAAAGTGGCTAATACAATTTTTTTGAATTTTCTCTACCTAAGAAGAAGTATAATGACGAGTAAGTATGGCTGTGTCTCTCTTGTTTTAGACAACTAGTTTCCAACATAAAAGTGTTTGTATATTCTTCAAATAATGTTGTTGGATACATCTATTATATATGTTCAACCACTGTTTGTTTTGACGGGTGATTTTATGTGGTCATAAGTTGGATGAAAGTCAAAGGTAGCCGATTCATTGGTTCATAAAGTCCCTGACAAATGGTCTGAGCCGTGTAAGTATATACAGACTATCTGATTGAGGTCCATATGATGATCGTGATCAGTGGTTGGACATGTTGGGTAACATGTCTTAGAATAAAACAGAATTGCACAAATGACTCCACTTTTTGTCATTTCTAAAATCCTAAGCACTAAAATCTGATTGTTTATCTGTTTTTTCCTATATATCCAATATTTTATACTATTACTCCCACTCCTACACCTCCCCTTACTACTACTACTACTACTACTACTACTACTACTACTACTACTACTACTACTACTACTACTACTACTACTACTACTACTACTACTACTACTACTACTACATCTACCAGAGCGTAACTGGTGTGTTCGTAAATATACACTATTAAGCAGTTCTATGTAAAGTTCAGATATCTGTTCAGAGCTTTCTAAACCAAACTATTTGTTTAAATATACTTAAATGGTTAAGATCATGAGTCAGTTGAAGCTAGACCACCATGGAAAACCTGGAAGCACTGAACGGCCGTTCCGTCCTATTGTGTGACTCCTTAGCAGTTCGCCCTCTGCGAGATTCGAACCCAGGACCTACTGATTTCCATGGTGATCTAACTTCAACTGATTCATGAACTTAACCATTCAAATTACTATAATATCCACAAAACCTATCTGATATTAAATACATTTAGTTTATTCTCTAAACAATAGAATTTAACAATCTCTATAAATCTCTATACAGTACTGAAATAATTATATTTAATAGGTTATTTAATTACACTTAAATCTATTGGATAAAGTAGAGATTAGAGATAATAAAAGGGAATATTTTTTTAAAAAAAAGTTTATACTTTTAAATGTTTATATAGTAAGAGAATGATGAATTTTGTAAAATTAAAGTATAATTCACCCATTTATCATCATTGAAATCTCTTTATTTCACATCTATCAATGGTATATAATGAGGTTAGAAAACAAATGAAGTTTGTCTTTAAACGGTATTAAAATTTCTACCTATACTTTTCTTGTTCATTATGACGACAATAATAAACGTAATTTATATACAGTACTATGATAGACGAAATTAGGACCAAAATTATCTACTTTAGTAAATTGTTCTTCATTGAAAAATCTAGATGTACTGGATGGCTGTTTCGTCCAGTACTGTAGGACTCCCTAGCAGTGCGAATCCACGATCTCGCCTCGCCGGATTCGAACTCAGGACTTATCGCTCTCGCACACGAACGCTTAACCTCTATATGAATGAGCCAGTATTCAACAGTCTTGATGTCTAACCACAGCCAACCCGCAAAAATACGCGACCATCTTCCATTGTATTGAGGTAGACAGCTGTCTCCATTCGACACAATAAGTGTTTAAAGTAAATTCTATATAAATTCAAAATACCCGCTCCCACAATCACTGCATTTCACTTGTATTTCAATGAATCCTAATTAATTTTTTTTAAATTTTCCATAATTTTATGAATAAAAAGTATTTAGATGAACAACATTTATTGCTAAATAAACTAGTTCT